CGCTGCCACCGTCCAAGCGTGCTTGGCCCCGGCAGATGAACCTCAGGATTAAAGGGTGGGCTCAGTTCCGCGCACACTGTGTCTCACCTAAAAAATCCAATGCGCAGGCTGGAAGGTGGAAAGACCTTCCCCGGTTCTTCGTTCGCGAAGAGACTGGCCATTCATTCATTGTACCTACTTAATAAAGCAAACCCAGTGTCAGGAATTAGTACGTGGTCTCAACCAGCACCAGGTGCAGCAGATTCAGGTCTTGCTGGTTAAAATATGGGTTTTTTATAGCCCACATCTATTGTGTCATACAACTTCTTGGTTCACTGAAATCATATCTGGCTCAGAATTTAAATACAAGAGCTGTGTAGCAACAGAAGATCTACCTGGCACATTTCACCTGTGTTTTTGGGATCCTAGAAGTAACAGAATATGTGCTGGTGACATGGAAGAGCTGACACCAAAGCAGGAAGAATTAATCCACAGCCTTAATTAGGAATACTACTGGAAAAATGAAGGTGGAACAAAAACTTTCAAATTTCCAGTGAGGAGGTGAGAATACAACTGAGCTTCCTCAGTTCAGACACAAATTTCCTCAGGGTTGATTTCTCTGGGAGTGGCCATCGCAAAGGCAGATCTAGGAAACAGAACAAACATGAGTGAAGTTCAAAACAAGAGCACATGACCACTCTTTGCAAAACAGGAGTCATACAAAAATCAAACCCACTATTAACACTTCACCCTTCCATTGTACCTCCCTTTTGGAGGACTTCAACGCTCTTCACCAAAGACACGTGTCAGATTGTGATGCTTTTACTCATGCTCATGGCTATCTGACTCATGACCTCATTTGATTTTATGGTTCAAAGCAGTATATCTGAAGTACAAAGAGATCAGACTCCTGCCCTAGCTGATGCAGTGTCAGTCAATTTAGGATTGTTTTTTACTGATGAAAACACTGAGTCAGAAATTATTGCCACTTTCTCTTACCAGCAGCCTTGATATTCAGAGTCCAATGTAACACCATAAAAAAACCCCAGAAATCTGAAGATCAAGGTACTAGTCGAGAGAAAATGGAGAACTACCTGCAGTGCTAAGCACTACTCTTAGTGGTTGAGACACTGCATGTGCAACATTACTTACTGCATTAAAAGGGATGAAGGGCTCTGGGCTGCTCTTACACTTGGTCTTTCAGATTCAGATGAGAGTTTGGCTTCTCCTTGCACTCATGTGAAGGGTCCCTGAAGACAGGCCCACTGAGGTGTGGGTAAGCTGAATCAGGAGCTTGTTCTGTGCTACATTTCACCCTTGCTGAAAGAAAGGTCAACCCACAATGGCAACTCCACGATGAGTAAAGTGATGATCATTAGATCATCATAGCATGGCATACTCCTATTGTTATGATGATCCTAATAAAAAAATCTTCACGAGGCTTCTCTTGGGTGTAGCTGTCATTAATAAGCATTTCCTCTTGCAATTTATTTCAGTTCAGTGAAATGATAATTCCACTAAGAAACAGTGTCCATAAAGCAATGGTATGTATGACCTGATCCTGCGGATGGTCAGCATTTAAAAGAACTAAAAACATCTTAAATGCTTTTATGGACATGAAATTAGATTAGATGGATTCATATTGTGAATCCATCTTTTGAAGTGGAAAGAAATGGAGCAGAATTTCCTAGGATTTTCTGCTGTTTTTTTAATTCCCAGGTGCAAATTGTGTTGATTTTTCCCCTTTTAGCCCTCTCTGAATTTTAAGTGAGTGTTTAGAGAAAGTCCTGCTGAGCTCTGGCCAGGCTTATTGAGGTAGGGACTGCCTGTGTCCCCTGCCTTTACATCACCTTCACAGCACAAGACTGGGATTTCTGCTCTGCCATACTTCAATCAACATCTCTGAATAAGAATCTTTCAGACTTTGTGTCATATTCAAGTGTTGAAGTGCCCACTAATACCAGAGATGCTTCAGTGGGAGAATCAGATCCAGTTAGACTCTTTACCTTCATGTTTCATCCAGTACCCCACACTTTGAGTCAAAGCAAGCAACTGAAATGCTGATCAAGGGGAATGGAGTCCTCTCATTTGGCACAGATCAACTCAAACCATAGCTGCGCAATAAAATGAGGAAGAATGCTTTGAAGCGTCAATGCAGCCCTGGGAGCTGTTTCACAGCAAATCTCTTCATTATAGTGTTTGTCTTTATTCAAGTATTTCCATTTCTTGGTGGTTCTCTTTGATGGTGTTTTAGCCTACTGAGGTTCTTCAGAACGGTCAAGATCTTCCCTTCCCCTGTACCATTGCTTAATATGGTCATAGTTTTGAGACAAGCTGTGTTAATTGTCAAGGGCAGAACTTGGACTGCCATGCCAGCATTTTGCATTCGCAACTTTTCTGCAAGCATATTTTTTTGGTTTAGCTCTCAGGTCAGACATCTAGCTGATATATATAGAAATAATTTTCTGTGGACACAACTCAAATGAATCTGAGTGTCCAGTGAGAGAATTATTGTTTGCAACTGATTGCACTTAGAGTTGCAACACAGTGCAACTTTTTTGGTTTTTTGCTTTTTCCCCCCCTTGTCGCCTTTGGAAGTTTCACAACCTACAGTTAGCCAGACTCTGAGTCTGAGCTGAGCATCTTGCAACACTGGTTTATCAATGTCACTGAAAAACAAATCTGTACAGTGTCATAACTTCCATTGATCCAGCAGGTTGGATCCAAGCTGATAGCAGATCCAATGAGATCTCGGCGGAGGGGGGAATCAGATTTGTTGGTTCAGACTGACGTGGAATTGCAGCCAGGCAGCACATAAGCCTTCTGGCTAGCAAACAGACTGCATGGCCCAAGACTTCATGCAGGACAAACTCTGACACAGTACAGCAAGGGAGAAGTGTCCCCATCACAAACAGAAAGATTCCAGTCTCCTGGGACCTGTGGGGCACAGCCAGAAGAGGCACTACAGACTTTCTACAGTGCAGGGTCTTTGAAAGCTACAGCCCAGGGCCAGAGTCCCAGATGCTACTCATGCAGATAACCTCATATAATCAATGTTCACTATTCTTACTGATGAGCTTTAGAAATGATCTCATTGATGCTTTTGGCATATATGACCTGATTGGTTTTGTTTGCATTTTTCTCTCTATTTATTTTCTGCCACTATGTTAATGTAGTCCTCCCTACACTGACTATTGTCTGGATCTGTCCCAGGAACTTGTTAATGATGTCACAAGCAGGGTTATGACCACTTGTGACAGCACATGCAAAAATAACCCTCCAGAAGATAAGGAAGCCACTGGAAGGACTGACATACCAGGAGGCAGGAATCCCACTTCTGTGCAAAATGTCCCATGTCAAGAAACCATTAAAGAGGGGGGAAAGTACGTGGAGTGTAAGGAACTCTGCATCAAGCATTGGAGTTTCCTTTAAATCTCATTCCAGGCTCAACAGAGAGACAAAGGATCAGGGGCTTACTGTTGCTTCATCTCCTTCGTTCTGCATTCTTGAAGGGAAGAAGTGAAACCATGAGGACTGACCTTTCCTAAAACCTCTTCCGCTTTTCCTGGAAATCAGTCTTCAGTCACATGATAGGGTTTTACTGCTCTTTAGGAATTCCAGATCCTGAATGAGGCAGACTGTAAACAAGGAAACCTGACACCTCAAGAACAGAAGGAGAGAACAAGATGTCCATAGCCACGCTGGAGTGTTTTCAAGCACTGCAATGTGTTCTGTGAGTTGTTTATAAATGTACCTGTCTCTGAGTGTACACACACATCTATATACAGTCTTACAGAGTACATACTATCATTTTTTCTCCCACATCTCTGAAAGCAGAAAGAGTCAGTCATAAACAAAGTGGTGTTCTCCAGGGCAGGCACTGCTCTTTCAGCCCAGTCCCTATCACAGCCCTCCCCTTCTGTCTGCAGCTCTGTGGTTTCAAACTCAGTTATTTTCTAGCATAAGACAGAGATTGCAGAGCCTTGTTTGGGGGCGCAAGCAGGTACATGAGCACCCACAAGCTCTCACTTATTAGCAGCCTCTCTTGGCTAGTTGGTTATTAAAAACCAGTCTGGCTTTTAAGGATCATAGCTGACTTTGTGGCTGCTGGCAATAAGACATGGGGTGGGTGCTGAAGGGCAAACAGATGATTTTCTTGGCAAATAAGCAGCATGATTTAAAAAAAAAAAAAAAAAAAAAAAGATGGGACAGACTCTTCAAAATGCAGAAGGAGAAAAAAGTAACTGGGAGAATCAGGATAGCAGCTAGATTAGTATAACACACCACTGAAAACCTTGCCCAGTGGGAAAATGGTAACACAGGAAAAGCTGAACTTTTACACTAGAGCATGTTCTTTCTTCTCCAAGTCAGATGCAATTTACAATCCTGTGACAAATGCTCACATTAAATGCAGAGAGCTCCTTAATCCTAAAACATTTTTAGTCTTAACATTAAACATTTATCCCTTATCAGAAAATTAAATTTAATATAGCAGAAACTCAGCCATAAAAAGGGTCAAAAATGGCTTCTTCTCCCTCCATTAATAATAGAAAACTTTTAGACAGTTGGAGACAAACATTTGCTATCAAGTCCTTCCCAAGAGAGTTAATTTCTTGCCATCACAAACTGTTAATCAAGGAGCCCTGTTTGCTTAAGTCTGTTTTAGAGGCATAACTCTGAGTGGTACTGTGAGAGGAACATGCACAATCATAGCATCCAGGCAATTAATTAAAGCTTTATAAAACCCCAACTGAAGTTACTGGAAGGATTCCCATTGATCCATTAGATTTTGGATAAGGCTTCAAATACAAAAATTGAACTGATAAGTGCAGAGCCCTCTCCCCTCTCTTGCTGGATTTTTCCTGCTATTTGAATCCTTTGCATGTCAAATGCCATCAGGATGAATGACCGGAATCTTTGCTGGAAAGAAAAGGTGGTTTGTTTTGTGTGTGGTCCCTTCTGCATTGGTGCTGGGGCTTGGTTCGAGCTGCCAGGTGATGTCTCTGCATCTTCCTGGTGCTGTGGCATCTCCAAGGTCTTGCAATACCAACGAGGCTCTGACTAACAGCACTGCACAGTAAGGAAGGAGCCTTACTGTCAGTTTTGCCACATTCCACAGAAACAGGATGAGCTTTACAGGTTGGGGTAGACAGTAACCTCTGGAGTATTTCGCTGAACAGCTTCTGATAACAAAACTGTTTTCTTATGTTGCATGTGGAACCATCATCAGAGCCATCCACAGAATCTTTCCTCAGTCCTCTCCATTGTTATACACTGGTTTAGCCCACAAAGCACCAAGACCAAAATAGTGGAGTGGCGTAAATCTGAAAATGCTGAAAAGAAAAACATCCCTTATCTCAAGGTCTGTGGTAGTACAGCTTCTTGGTTAGACAGCTGCTGGGGACCCATTTTGTTCTAGCCCTGAGCTAAGCACCTGCCAGATCATTTTTCTGCTGCAATGTTACTTTCTGTAAAAATAGAACTAACTATTAGATGGCACTAATACGACTTGTACTCATCCTAAGAGGCCTAATAAGTAGAGGAAAATTCATGAGGAAATAGACTTGGAATACAATGTTAATATTAACCATAACATTGAAAAATTTAGCTCCCTCAGAAAAATCAATGGGCCTATGAAGATCCTGTTGTTCCCTCCTGCCTGAGTACAGCTACACAAACAACTCACCACAACTTTGCCATTCTGCAAGAAGCTGCTTGTCCACAGTTAGATATACCCTTGGATAAATATCAGTGTGCTTTCTTGGCCATGAAAACATGGCAAGCTGCTTTCTACTCTCTGCAGTGTCATAGAGGGCAGCTAGGCTCTTATTGGGCAGGAAAAGACAAGCCAGAAATCAGCCCAAATTTATCTTGCTCGTGGAGCCATCGCCTGCAGCTGCTGCAAGACAGTTCTGGTTCCAGATTTTCATCTCTGGATCCTCTGGACATATTTCTAATGGGCTGGAACATCTCAGAGGAAGAGGAAAAAAAAAACCAGCCAACAGCAATATCTTTGGCCAATCAGCAATTTTTTTTCCTGACAATCCACCAGTGTGTAGATGCCTGACAGTTTATATCCCTTCTGGTATTTTTCTCTCCTATCACATGTAACTGTGGATTCTCTCATTAGTCAAACTGCATGCATTCCAGCACATCATTTAATTTTTCTTTATCAAAACAGCATGTAGACAAAGTGAACTTCTTTGAAATGTAGGCGCTCTCATCACTTCTCTCTGTGCTGTATTTGTTCACTGCTCTATTCTTTTTTGAGGTAGTCATGCCAGGTAGCTTTTGATGAGTAACATACTGTTCATGTTCATATGTTGCTCTCATGTGGCTTACAAAGCCCCAAAGATGCCATCAAATGTAAAAAAAAAGAAAAAAAAAACCCATTGCACGATACTGAAATCAGCTTTTCTGCATGAGCGTGTGCCCTAAGCCATCAGACAGCTCTTTTCAGTATGATTCTCTCAATCCCTCTTTGGAAAACATCTCGTTCATTTGCACAAAGAGAAAGTACAAATCCCCTAGATTTTACTTGAAGGAAGCATAACAACTCACTTGGAGTCATTTTATGAGTGATTAAAACTTAATTGCAGATACAAATTGTTAGAGAGGGTGCAGAATATTCCTGTTGTGGCTACAAACACTATAGAGAGGCAAATACTCCCTGTTTTGGTTAGTGTGAGAGCATGCCCATTTCTTGGCAAGATAATCATGCTGCACCACAGATGTTTGCAAGCGTAAAGTAATTTTTGTTAACGTTGAAAATGTGTTTACAAATACTCAGCTTCAGAAATCTGTTGTGTTGTCTTGATGAGTAGAAGTGGCCAGCAGAATGCACTGTACGTGCAGCACAGATATGATTCGGATCATTGCTCAATGCCCACAGGGACAGGGTTAATAAAGTAAAAGGGAACAGAGCACCAAAGCACTGTTGATAACTGTATGTGCACCAGAGACCATTTCATTGGCTTTGTGGAAGAGCTTTTTATCATGTAATTTCTCAATATTAAAAACAATACTTGATACTGTTTATCCAGAGATCTACAGTTCCAACCAGAAAAATATATAGACTGACGAAAGGTTATTATTGGGAAAGTCACAGCAGGAGTTGCAATGAAAAAGCAACTAGCCAAAGGATAAAATTCAGTAATCAAGTGCTATGGCATAAAGGTTGGTCTAGGATCTGTAATGAAACTCAAACTTTGAATAGCAAGGGTGTAGTTCTGGAAGGAATTAAGGGATCCCCACTCTAATTATTTCCGTCACAAAGGTAGGAATGAAGGTTAAGGGTCTGCCCAACACCATCTGATAGAGCCCATCCAAATGTGGAGCCCAGTGATTCCTGCGTGTGGTACCATTTCCTTTCACCTTGTACTTTCTCTCTGCTTAGAACAGTAGGACAAATGCAATTTGTGAAGACACCAGGAGAGGAAGAACCTGTGATAAGGGGAAGGTTTTAAACAGCAATAAGATGAAAAATGAGACTGCTATATTTTCATCTTGGCAGAAGTAGAGAGAGCAGCCTAAGATAAGTGTGGGGCTGCAGAACGAGACAAGACTAGAATGAGCAGGGCTGTCGAAACAGCATCAGCCATCTCTGGAGGGGAGGTTTGGGAAATCCCCACATCCCCTTCTTTACCACACAGAGAGGGATTTTGGGATCTGAATTAAAGGGAATAGGAGAAGGAAGAAGAAAGACACGCAAGGCAGCTGTGGGCAGCACTGGCCCCTGGAGTGAGGTCCAGCTGGGGGAAGGAGGGATCCTTGCCAACTTGGGGCACAGCTGTAATTTTAACAATCAGATGGCAGCTCAATGCCTGCCTGAGGGGCAGGAGCCTGTATGTTTTCCTCCAGCAGCTAGGCCACCTTTTCATTTCTCACCCTGCGCCGACAAGCTCCACTTCAACATGATTTGCTGTCATGGAGGCACAGGGAAAACAAACCAGACACTGCCAGATCAGAGAGCTTTGGGATGGCCACACAGTCACAATCAAGTTGGTGGAGCAGCAGTTTGAGTCAGTCTTTTATAAAGTGGCTTTAGAAGCCATGGGACAGTGGCTTACACTCTCTCTTCTCTCCAATAAAGGCTCACAGAGGGTCTTAGCTGGCTGTCCCATGGGAGGGGGAAAGGATCTGACACGGTTTGTTTTGCACATGTTTTAATCAGCAGAGCAATGCTTCATGAGCACTCTTATACGTGCCAGAAACAATCCTCCTACACAGAGTTGTCAGTGATATTAAACAGAGTGAGAAGGCAAGAAGGCCCAACCTCACATGGGCCAGAGCTGCTATTTTCAGGGTCAGATCGAGAGCCTGAAGGCTGGACTCTGGCTTAGGAGAAGAGTTTCCTCTCAACTCTGTTGGACAGAGTGAATGGGCTCTGCCCTGGAGCAGAGAACATGGGAGGTGGGGGGCTGGTGACAGGAAACCCCAGCAGAAGCCATGGCTTTTTATGACAAGCAGTTAAAGGTTGGTGTTTTCCCACAATTCCTTCAAGGAACAAGTGCATGTCTTTCCTCTGCCGAGTTTGTGTTTGTCCTTCTCAGCAGTGCTGGATCATTGTTCCGTTGCTATTATTCCAGTGACTGATGATAAGAAGATAACGCTGAGTTTGGACTGCTGGGAGCTCATAATTACTTCTTTTAAAAGTCTGTGCAGTATATACTCATATATATGTGCACACACCCATATACATATGTACACTTTCATACATGTGTGCATGTATATATGCAGGTGAAGTTGTTGCTCACCTATTGATACCCTGTATATCCTCTTCAACAAACAGGGAGGGAAAAGTAATACTTAAAGACACTGAAGAAAGAGTCACAGATTGACCAGCCTGAACTCTACTCATGTTGTTACTAACAACTGGAGTACTTTTGCTTTCAGTATGGTGATAAGCCTGGGTTGTGCTTTGGTACTATAGCAATCTCCTCTGCCAACCCACAAAAAATACCTGCACCCTGCCCTGAAATGGTGGCAGGAAACACTTAGTAGTATTCTCCCATCCCTTACCCT